CATTAAAAAAAAAAAAAAAAAAAAAAAGATAGTCAATCATCGAGGAACGATTGAACGCCCTACGAGGACTCGGCTGTCCCTTTTACTGCGGGCGACCGGTCACCAAATGGGGAAAAGACAAACGCAGCGGGGGTAGCGGGAGGTTCATCTTGTGTTTGTTCGTAGGGCTTGGGCACTCGGGCCTGATGATAATGATGTTTTTTCTAAAAAAAAACGAAAAAAAAAACCAAAGGGAAACTACGCTGGAATCCCCCCCACCCAAAAAAAAAAAAAACAAACGAGTTATAATTGCAGTATGGGGCCAGGATACAGTGTGCAATTGCAGTTCGGCCAATGGATACAACGGAGCTTTCTGGCCAGGTAGGGTGCCCGAGGTGCAATCGCAAACTGACAAACTGTATCTTGCCCCGTACTGCAATTATAACTCCGTTTCGTGACTCCCGCATCGTTAATCCCGCCCCCCTCCTCCCTCTCCCCTTCCCCCCCAAACACAAGAAAAACGTTTGCTTACTTATAGTTTCCCCACCCTACCCTCCACCGCCCTATAGCTAAGTTGATGATTATTGGGCTTCTTATGCACGTAAGTGGCATTCAGGAGATTCAGGAGATTGTGGGTTCGACTCCTCTCGACGGCGATGCCCGTGACAGCCTGCTGTGACACACACGTAGTGTCAACCAGAGTTACCAGACCAGATATGGAAGTGGGCTTGATACCAGCCAGCAGGGGGAGACTAACTGAACCACCCGGTCCTCCCCGGGCCAGCAATTCCTGACCAGGTACGAAGGTACGAAGGCCGTTACATCGCTAGTGCCTTCCCGTGATGATTCTAAAAACCACAACTCTAAAACTGGGAAAATTTCAAAGGAAGAAGATTCCGTCCCAGAAGAACGCAAGCTTGATGTGGATGCAAGCCTGTGGGAATGCTTGATGTGGATGCCAGCCCTGCAAGTTGTTCCCACAGCGCAGTGGTTGGCAAACAAAGGGATGGACTTGTCAACTACCTGTCCCAGGTGTAATTGGGGATGGGAAGAGCATGGTCATCTGTGGATTGGATGCCTGCTAGCAGATGAGCTGTGGATGTGGTGGTCCTCCCACTGGAATAACATAACACAAGGGGTTTTCCCTTGGTCTGATGATTGGATACTATATGCTACCTTCCCCAGTCCACAATGGAAATATACAGAAGGCTGGGGGTATGTAGCGCTGCTCTGCAGAGGGATTTTGTTGCAGACGATTTGGCAGGCCTGGAATGAGAAGGTTTTCAACCAAAAGCAGATGCCGATTCAGCAACAGCAATACCAGGTGCTTTCTACAATCAGACTCACGATTCTAGCGGATTGGAGAAGAGCAACGGGCCGCCAGGGTAGAGGCAGGCCGTGGTTCCTGAAAACATGGGCTATTCAGAACCACCTCGCCTCGGTCTCACAAGACGGGAATATGGATTATGCAGGATGGTTATCTACAATCTAGCCCACCGAGTGAGGGGGCGCTAAAGGAGCAAGGCCTGACCTGGGGCGCAAGAATTGGATGTATAGCGATAACTGAGTAAATCAAGGTTTTCTGACCTTGGCTACAGAAAAGTTCCTTTTTTTACTGTGCTTCAAGATTCACTTTTTTGGAAAGTCTCCTTTTATGTTGGTATAGCGGTGGGACGCTGGACCCGGTTTCCAGCAGCTTGGTATGTTAAAGTACTAAGAGCTTGTGTAGATTGCAGATATTCGAGCTTGGCTCGTAAGCGAAACTGGCTGAGGCTGCCAGGAGTACTCCGGGTCGAATTGTGAGGTCCCGGGCCTCGTCCCATTCATGGGTAATATATTGTTGATGCTTTCCAAAA